CGCCCGGAGCGCCGCCGCCTCCTCCCTGGGTAGACCACAGACGCGGCTCCGGGGCTCTCCCTGCACCACCGGACGGCCCAGGATGCTGCCGGCCATCCTCCTCCTCCTGCTTGGTAAGAGCCGAGACGCGACCCCGCCGGCGCCTCGCCCCCCGGGCTGTCACCCGGCCCGGCAGCTCTGACTCCCTCCGACGGGACCCGTGCTCGCCTCTCTGCCCGCGCCCCCGGCCCCTGCCTCCACGCCCAGCGCTGCCTGCCCCAGCCCCGCTCAGCCCTCGCCCTCCCTCCGGCTTCGCCATCACCTGCCGACCCCACAGCCCCTGCTGCGGACCCTCCTTGGAGGTCCCTCACAGCCGCCTTCTCCACCCCACCCCCCAACCCTCTCTTCCTATAAGCCGCCCGGAAGTCTCAGATGGCTTCCTTTCCTCCCGGAGCCGCTCAGGTGAAGAAAACTCCTAAGAGCCACTCGCTGTCTTGCCCTTTCTCTCCTTCCCTCTAGGAGGCGCTCTGGCCCATCCGGACCGGATCATTTTCCCAAATCCTGGTGAGTAGGGGTCTCCACGGGCTTGGGAGTGAGGGAGCACTTCAGAGAGGGACTTTCTCTTCCCTGAATCACAGGACTCATCACGGTTTTAGGGTGGAGAGATGAGGAAACTGAGGCACAGTGTGAGCCCTTATCTGGTACTATCTCATTTTTTCCTGCAATATCCATGCTTGGTCTTCCTAGCCAGCAAGGAGCCTCCTTGCGGGTAGAGACAGTGTTTCCTTCTCCTCCTGGTCCAGTAGCTGGCACAGAGCAGGACTCAGAATTGTCTGTGGTTCTAATACTTTTTTTTTGTGAGTTGGCGTCTCACTCTGTCGCCCAGGCTGGAGTGCAGTGGCACACTCACAGCCACCACAGCCCTGACCTGCTGGGCTCAGGAGATCCTTTGGCCTCAGTCTTCCAAGTAGCTGGAACTACAGGCACGCACCACCACACCTGGCTAATTTTTTTGATTCACTGTAGAGACAAGGTCTCACTAAGTTGCCCAGACTGGTCTCAAACCTCTGGACTCAGGCGATTCACTTGCCTCAGCCTCCCAGAGTGCTGGGATTACAGGAGTGAGCCACTGTGCCCGGCATGTGGTCTTAATACTCAAGATGAAACTAGGAAGTATGGAAAGGAAGAGGGGAGCCAGAGGCTGTAACTCTAAAGTAAACCAGGCAGGGCTAGAAGTGGAAGCTGGATCTGTGGATCTGCGTCTCAAGGGCATGTCTGTATGGGGGGAGGGGAGGGGGACTCTGCTCCTTCTTGAAGAGCCCAGGCCCTTGGAGGCCTCAAGCCTGGGGAGGGGTGGGGCTCTCACCAGTGCTTCTTCCTTCCTGTCTTCAGCTTGTGAGGACCCCCCAGCAGTGCTCTTGGAAGTGCAGGGCACCTTACAGAGGCCCCTGAGCCGGGACAGCCGCAGCTCCCCTGCCAACTGCACCTGGCTTATCCTGGGCAGCAAGGAGCAGACTGTCACAGTCAGGTGAGAAGCAGGGCAAGACCCCATTCCTGCCCCCACCCAGCCCCCTCTGTGGATCATTTCTCCATGGAGTTTCCATCCTTACCAACAGGGGGAAGAGTAGAATTTGATTTGGCCTAGTCTGTCCTAAAAGTTGAACTTGTTCTGGGACATACTTGATGACTTGGAACTGGACTGGGGTAAACATGTAGCCTGGGTATCTCTGAAGGACAGCTGTCACTTCAGAAATGGTTCTGGGCTCGCATAGGACTGGTTTTTTTTTTTTTTTTTTTTGAGTTGGCGTCTCACTCTGTCGCCCCGACTGGAGTGCAGTGGCCACTCCTGGCCACCGCAGCCTCAACCTGCTGGGCTCTGGCGATCCTTCCACCTCAGCCTTCCAAGTCGCTGGAACTACAGGCACGCGCCACCACACCCGTCTAATTTTTTTATTTATTGTAGAGGTGAGGTCTCGCCAAGTTGCCCAGGCGGCTCTCGAACCTGTGGGCTCAGGCAATCCACTCACCTCGGCCTCCCAAAGCGCTGGGATTACAGGCTGAGCCACCGAGCCCGGCCTAATCTTTTTTTTTTTGAGTCAGAGTCTCACTCTGCTGCCCAGGCTGGAGTGCAGTGGCATGCTCACAGCCACCCCAGCGTCGACCTGCTGGACTCAGGCCATCCTTCTGCCTCAGCCTTCCAAGTAACTGGAACTACAGGCACATGCTACCACACCCAGCTAATTTTTGGTTATATTGTAGGGATGAGGTCTCACCAAGTTGCCCAGGCTGGTCTTGAACCCCTGGGCTTAGGCACTTCTCTTGCCTCGGTCTCCCAAAGTGCTGGGATTACAGGCTTGAACCACTGCGCCCGACCAGGGCTATTTTGAGGAGTCCTTCTATTCATTGCATGTCCCTGCCTAGCATTCACAACTGTTCCTTAATCAGTTTAGAGCATTCCCCAGCCTTCCCAGATCCAAGTCTCCCCAGGCTCCTCTGACCTTGGGTCATTGGGTTGAGGACCATGTTAAATTAAGTACCTAGCTATTTGCCTCACACAGTTCATTTTCCATAGATTTATCTAGGAAGGAGTAGGCGAAGAGAGGAGGCAATCTTGAGAGAGACTGTTGGGGCAGAGAGATCAGAATGCCATGGTCTTATCCCTGGCTCTGGTGGGGAATGGTGAGTTCTGGTTAATTGAACTGCATGGTAATCTCCAGTTACCGTTGATGCCATGCTTGAGTGACAGTGCTGCAACAACTGAAAAGCAATACATCTGTTCTTAACTCAATCCCTGAACACAAGTCAGATTTTCCAAAAACCTCTAGTATGTATCGTATAGTCTTATGGTACCAGTGGCCTATGGTAGGACTATTGCCATTGACAACACTGACTAAGAAAGAATTTGGTTAACTGGGTTTTCATCTGGTTGTTTGGATCATAGAAAAGCAGGTGTTTGTGCTTCTTGGGATAGAAGGGGCCTGGTGGCACTGAGGGGGTAGAAAACCGGCAATGGTCAACCTCATTTCCTGCTTTCTACTACTCCTGTAGGTTCCAGAAACTGCATCTGGCCTGTGGCTCTGAGCGCTTAATGTTACGCTCCCCACTTCAACCACTCATCTCCCTGTGTGAGGCACCTGCCAGCCCTCTGCAGCTGCCTGGAGGCAACGTCACCATCACCTACAGCTATGCCGGGGCCAGAGCACCCATGGGCCAGGGCTTCCTACTCTCCTACAGCCAAGGTAGTCTGGACAGGGGTGTCTGAGGGACCATTAGAACAGGCGGTGGAAACTCCAGGAAGGAGGGGAAGATCCTGAGGGTTCTGGTGCTTCATAGCCCCTCTCCATGGTGCCTCTGCAGATTGGCTGATGTGCCTGCAGGAAGAGTTCCAGTGCCTGAACCACCGCTGTGTACCTGCTGTTCAGCGCTGTGATGGGATAGATGCCTGTGGCGATGGCTCTGATGAAGCAGGTTGCAGCTCATCCTGGCCTGACCCCAGGCCACTCCCCTCCCCTGCCCTGACTCCAGGCCCCGTCTCCACCCTGCCTTGCAATCTCACCTTGGAGGACTTCTATGGAGTCTTCTCCTCCCCTGGATACTCACACCTGGCCTTAGTCTCCCATCCACAGTCCTGCCACTGGCTGCTGGATCCCCACGATGGCCGGCGGCTGGCAGTGCGCTTCACAGCCCTGGACTTGGGCTTTGGAGATGCGGTGCATGTGTATGATGGCCCTGGGCCCCCCGAGACCTCCCGGCTACTGCGTAGTCTCACCCACTTCAGCAATGGCAAAGCTGTCACTGTGGAGACACTGTCTGGCCAGGCCATCGTGGCCTACCACACAGTTGCTTGGAGCAATGGTAGGGGCTTCAATGCCACCTATCATGTGCGAGGCTACTGCTTGCCTTGGGACCGACCCTGCGGCCTAGGTTTGGGCCTGGGGGCTGGCGAAGGCCTAGGTGAGCGCTGCTACAGTGAGGCACAGCGCTGCGATGGCTCATGGGACTGTGCTGACGGCACAGATGAGGAGGACTGCCCCGGTTGCCCACCTGGACACTTCCCCTGCGGGGCTGCCGGCACCTCTGGTGCCACGGCCTGCTACCTGCCTGCTGACCGCTGCAACTACCAGACTTTCTGTGCTGATGGAGCAGATGAGAGACGCTGCCGGCATTGCCAGCCCGGCAACTTCCGATGCCGGGATGAGAAGTGTGTGTATGAGACCTGGGTGTGTGACGGGCAGCCAGACTGTGCGGACGGCAGCGATGAGTGGGACTGCTCCTACGCCCTGCCCCGCAAGGTCATCACAGCCGCGGTCATTGGCAGCCTTGTGTGCGGCCTGCTGCTGGTCATTGCTCTGGGCTGCACCTGCAAGCTCTATGCCATCCGCTCCCAGGAGTACAGGTCAGTGCGAGTGGGGCTGGTGGTGGAGGAGAGGGGACCGAGGATGAGATAGGGCCATACAGCCACAGGAGACCATGAGGGAGAGGTTTTGGGGAGAGGTTTCCACGACCAGCTTGTCGGCTGGGCTCCTGGAAGGACAGGTCCAGATCCTGAAAACAGTCTCAAGGAAGGAGGACCTCAGATGACTTTTGAGAAAGCCATGGCGTAACTCCAGCTATTCTAGCCTGGGTGTGGAGGGAGGAGACCTGGCCAGCCTGGGGTAGGCTGCTCTGGCTGGGAACTCACAGTGACTAAACAGCTCCCATTCCTCCTAGCATCTTTGCGCCCCTCTCCCGGATGGAGGCCGAGATTGTGCAACAGCAGGCACCTCCCTCCTATGGGCAGCTCATTGCCCAGGGTGCCATCCCGCCTGTCGAAGACTTTCCTACAGAGAACCCTAATGATGTAAGTCTAGCACCTCCTGGTCCCAACTATGCCATGTCCTGCTGCTGTGGCACCTCCTGGTCCCAGCCGTGCCTTGTCCTGCCACTGTACCTTCCTTCATTCAGCCTCCTGACCCCCGGACTCAAATGTCTGCCTCCTCTCCTTGCAGAACTCAGTGCTGGGCAACCTGCGTTCCCTGCTACAGATCTTGCGCCAGGATATGACTCCAGGAGGTGCCTCGGGTGCCCGCCGCCGCCAGCGAGGTCGCTTGGTGCGCCGCCTGGTGCGTCGCCTGCGCCGCTGGGGCCTGCTTCCTCGAGCCAACCCTTCAACTCGGGCCCCTGAGACCAGATCGCAGGTCACACCTTCTGCTGCTCCCCTTGAGGCCCTAGATGGCAGCACAAGCCCAGCCTGTGAGGGCGGGGCAGTGGGTGGGCAGGATGGGGAGCAGGCACCGCCACTGCCCGTCAAGGCCCCCCTCCCATCTGCTGGCACCTCTCCAGCCCAGCCTACTGTCCCCGAGGCCCCAGGGCCACTGCCTGCACTGCCCCTAGAGCCATCCCTGTTGTCTGGAGTGGTACAGGCCCTGCGAGGCCGCCTCCTGCCAAGCCTGGGGCCCCCAGGACCCATCTGGACCCCACCTGGGCCCCATACAGCAGTCCTGGCCCCGGAAGACGAGGACGATGTGCTGCTGGTGCCACTGGCTGAGCCAGGGGTCTGGGTGGTAGAGGCAGAGGATGAGCCACTGCTTGCCTGAGGGGCCCTGGCTCCCCTGGGGGCTCTAGTTACAGTGGCACAACCCTTTAGAGGGTGGGTCAGCTTTCTCTCCACTTCATTCCTTGTCCCTGGGTCTTTGGGGACTTGGTGAGCCTCCCATTGATCCTGTGTAGCTGCTGCAAAGTTAAGTGCCCCTCAGGCAAGAAGAGGGCTTATACAGAGTCCCCTCTGTACATGGCCAGACCATAGTCCTTCCACCACCCACTTCTCCCCATGCCACCACCGTTCAGGTGACTGTTCTAGAAAGTAAAGTTCTTAAAGAACCATAGGCCGGGACACTCCATCCTTGCCAACCCCCCCAAAAAATAGCCTTAAGTACTGGAATGCCAATTGGCTGGAGACCCTTGGCCCCCAAGGGGAGGATTTGGACAGGACCTGAAGTTTTGCCAACCACAGTCCTTCCTTCAGGGCCTGGCTTACAAAAAGAGCACAGCAAATGCTTCTGTCCCATAGCTGGGTCATTGCCCAGAAGGTTGAGGTAAAAAAATAAAAGAATCAAAAACTTTTAAAATTTTGCAAGTTAGCCGTGAGCCTGAGCCCTACCTCTCTACCCATCTCAGCTTACGCGCACCTCATCTTGCTCTTCCCTGTGGAGGCCTTTGCTTGACCCTTCACCTCCTATCCTCTTCCTATTCCTCTTCCAGCCACCCCACCCTTGATTTTTATACCACTCGGAAGGTAAGAAAATTCTAGGAACCCTAAGGATCAAACTCCTTCACCTCTACTCACTGCCTGGGACTCAGTTCTACAATGACTGACACCCAGGGTGAGCACGAAGCCTCTTCACTCTCTTCAGGGTAGCCAGATGGGCTCTGCATTCAGGAAGGTTCCCCTTTTGGGGGTATTCCCAGAGCACAGATCACAGGAGCAAACTCTTCCTGGGGGTACACCGGAGCCGTGACTCCTCCCTTCCACCCTCCACCCCCACCAGGCACGTAACAGTCTGTCCTATGCAAGACGGAGGAACTCTTAGCTGGGGTGCCTTAAAGCAGGCAAAGATGAGCTGAGAGAAAAATCACAAACGTTCAAGATGTGAAGGAACTGGCATCACTGTGACCAAATGTAAGGTCTTCCTGGAAGAGGGCCCAAACTGGATTCTAAGGAATGCTGCCAACAGTTGGAAAAGAGCTGTGAATTCTAGGCAGGGTAGGCAAATTGAGGAGATGAGTGCTAGGACTGAGGGCCTGACCCTGGACCCCCTAAGAAGAGGCAGCAGGAGCACAAGCAGTAACCAGAGCCAAAGAGCTGAGCAGGGTGATGGAGGAGGGAATGATCCGCAAGAACTGCTGGAACCCAGCCTCTGGTGACAGAAGCTGCACCAGAGCTTGAAAGAGAAACTGAGGCAAAGGATCCTGTGGGGGTGAGAGTAATGCCTTGGGGGCAAAGCTGAGGCATTCCCTAAGGAACCAGGCCTGGGGAAAGGGCTCCCCCTCAGGCTCTCCTTCCCTCCTTGCCTGGCCCAGACTGTCCCCACCCCTCTGGTGGAGGGGCCCTGTCGATCACACCCTGTCTACATTCTCAAATTGCACAATTTTCTTCTCTCCTACTGAGCAAGAGCATGGGGAAGTAGCAGAGACCGGATAGGATGGACCTATGTGCAGTCCAGAGTCCCTGGCATCTTGGCTCAGGGAAGATCCAAGCTCCTTTCACAGCAGACTGTCTACAGAGACTGGGGAAGGGGTTCCAGAGAATCCAGTTCTTGCTTCCCCTTCTCTCTTTGGGTCCCTCTTCCCGAGTGTACACAGTCCACAATCCCTGGGTCCACCCAGTAACAGGCCCAGTGAAAACAGGAAAGCGGGGAGAGTGATTTCCCCTGCCCTGCCTCTCCATTGCCTGGTCTCGCCCTCTCCCTTGCTTTTCTCTTCCCCCATAGCCACCTCAAAGGCCTATGGCCTGGTGTCTTCATCCTTAGTCCTGTTCCACACCTTTCCCTCCCGCGATATTTGCAGCTTGAAAGTGGACAACTAAGGAAAAGAATGCTCCTCATAGTGGAATGCCTCAGAATGCTGGAGGGAGGACTTTAGGGCAGAGTTCAGTGGAGAGGCCTGTGCTCTAGATTAATGGGCCTGAAAGAAATTTCTCTGGGTGCTGGGTGTGTGCTTGATGAGGTGCAAACAGTAATACTACTTTCGTCAGCCACAGTGAAGCCCTGGTTTGGCTGGGAGAGGCCTGAGCTTATATAGACAGTATAGGGGAACTAAGAGGGTTCTCCCCAAGTTAGGGTTTTGGCTCTAGCTTATTTTCACTAGGGCCCAAGGAAAAAGAAATGAGGCGACTTGGTCTGGTGCAGTGACTCACACCCATAATCCCAGCACTTTGGGAAGCCAAGGCAGGAGGATTGCTTGAGGCCAGGAGGAACCAGCCTGAGCAACATTGCAAGATCCTGTCTCCACCTTTTTTTTTTTTTTTTGAGTCAGAGTCTCACTCTATTGCCCAGGCTATAGTGCGGGGGCACACTCATACCCACCGCAGCCTCTACCTGCTGGGCTCAGGCAATCCTTCCTCCTCAGCCTTCCAAGTAGCTGGAACTACAAACATTTGCCACCAATCCTGGCCAATTTTTTTATTTATTGTAGAGACGAGGTCTCGCCAAGTTACCCTGGCTGGTCTCAAACTCATGTGCTCAGTCAGTCCACTCACCTCGGCCTCCCAAAGTGCTATGTTTACAGGCTGAGCCACCAAGCCTGACCCCCTAACTCATTCTTATCTGGTGTCATAGAAATGAATCCAACCACCTAAGGTGAGTAGGTGAGTTTTCCGGATACATAAAGTTTGCTCCTTTATAATATAAAACTTTTTTTAAAACCTCATTTGGAAAGGAAATCACTCTAAAATGTTACACTTGTCTTCATCATATCTGCAATATAACATTTTGAATAGCTGAGGATCATCCATAGAAACCAATGGTGGCCGGGTACAGTGGCTCAAGCCTACAATCCCTAGTCTCTACAATAAAGCAAAAAAATTAGGTGGGCGTGGTAGCGCATACCTGTAGTTCCAGCTACTTGGAAGGCTAAGGTGGAAGGATTGCCAGAGCCCAGCAGGTTGAGGTCGCGGTGGCCATCAGCGTGCCAATGCACTCCAGCCTGGGCGACAGAGTGAGACTCCAACTCAAATAAAATGCTTATGACTGCTTTAAAGTTTTTTTTGTGGTGTTGCCGCTCTTCCTGCCAGGCTATCCTGGGTCACTTGCTGCTCTAAACGTGCTTCTAATCTACTCATACAGTAACACACATGGTTACATTCAAATTGTGAATAAAAGTAATGATACGTAGGTCATGATTGAGGACTAGAGAATCTATCCAATGAGTAAAGCATCTGAGTATTTTAGCTGCTCCTTTCTGCTGCTTCTAGACCCTGTTGCCCTGTAGTTGACCTCCAGATAAATGAAGCGTTACCGCACATTATTCTCAAGATGACTATTTGCCTCTTCCACTGGAAAAGTCCACTGTGGAAGACAATATAGACTTTTCCGATAATAGGAGACAGTTGGAATATTTAAGAGAAAGAAGGCAGCATAATAGAGCAGTCTTCAACACTGGAAAGATATGGGTGGGATTCCTGGTGTTCCCATTTTCTAGCTGCATGATTGATTGCTTTGGCGACAGGCCACCCACCTACCACTGTGAGCCTTAGGGTCATGAAGATGAAAAGAGACAACACAGGAAAGCACTTAGCACAGCACCTGGCAAAAAATGGGACAAAGCAAGGAAAGGAAATGTGTGTGGGCGCTTAAGGGTGTCAAGGAGGAGGACAAGAGTGGGAACCCGAAGAGAAAGGAAACCGGGCAGAAAAGGAACAGTGAAGTAGATGTGCTGTCCAGGCGTCCTAAAAGGAAGTGGACGTCATCCATTGTGTATCTTGCCTTGTGCAGCCCAGAAGGCCTGGTGGCTGTCCCAGAGGGTGCTGTTGGTGAAAGGGGGAGTGGTGGGGTGTGGCTGGCACTCCCCGCCCCCCACTTCAGATTGGGAACTTCTATGAGATGGCTAGCTCTGTCTTTCCCTTTTTCCTGCCCTGATTATCACTTGGTGGGCCTGGCAGAAAGAGAAGGCAGAGGAGCCCCCATGGTGGTTCGCACCTACCTGGACCTGTGGACAAAAAATGAAGCTGCCCAAACAAAGCAGCCATATTCCCTTCCTCAGAGCCCCCATCTTCCTAGGGTCTGGAAAATGAGTACTTGTGAGGCTCTTAGCACAGAAGAGGCAGGGTGGAGAAGGAGAAGGTGGCAGGGTGGGCTGTCCCCCAGTCCCCACATCTCTTTTGTCCTATTTCACTTTGTCCTTCAGAGCAGCTTTTAGTCTTTCTCCCTTTTATCCCTCTTTTTGGCCACTGAGCACCCACTCTGGGCTAGACATGAGCTGGGGGACTGGAAATACAGAGACAAGCCATGCATAACCCTGGCTCCTGAGAAAGACCTCCAGCTCTCCTGGGTCCCTGCCTTCTTCACCCTCCACTCCCTTACCCACAGACGCCCCCCAGCCCGTCTGTTCTGCCCCTCTGACTTTGTCCTGTCATGCCTTAGCCGACTCCGACTCCGCAGTGTGTGCTCCCAGAGGGAAGCAACACAAAGGGAAGAGGGGGGTGCGGGAGGGAGGGAATCCCGCTGACATCACTGCTCATTAGCATATGTGACCTCATCAGGGGGGGCGGGACAATTTCCCCAGGTGTCTGGGGGGCAGGGCATGTGTGTGGGGGGGTGGTATTTAAAGGGAAAAGCTGACAGTGCTGCTGAGTGAGGGAGCGGGTGCTGCGAGCTGCTGGGCTGCACACGCACACGCACACCGATGCACACGGACCCCGACACCGACATGGACACGGATACAGAAACCACAGCACTCTGCCCCTCTGGCAGCCGCGGGGTCTCCCCCCCAGGGACGCCCACACCAGGTGAGGGCTAACCTGGGCAGATTCTGACTGAAACCATGGGGGTGGGAGCTGAAGCTCTGGTGGGGAGGTCAGAAGTGGCGGGTGAAAGAGCTTGAACCCAGTCAGCCAGAGAAGAGCAATTCAGGAAGTGGACAAGATCCCTGCTCACAAGGATTGGGGCTGGGCTAGGGTGGAGGGGGAGAAGAGCTGCCTAAATGCCCCCTCCCCCATCACTGCCAGGGTTTTGCTTGAGGACCTGGTACATGCCCCCTAGCTATCTCATTCTTAGGAAGCTGGGACAGGCAGGAGGGAAGGGAAGAAGGAAACAGGCAGCCCTCAAACCAGGGAACCACGGGTAGGGGGCTGCCCTGGGGACCTGTTGTAAGGGTTTCTTCTGGCTCCTGGAGGCCCTGGCAGCCGGCCGAGTATTGATCCTGGGCTATTTCCAGCCTCTCTCCATCCCCCTTTGTTGTGTCTGTTGTTCCTCCTCCAGTTACCCTGACCCATGCATTGTCACTCTCCCTTTTGCTCACACACACACTCTATCTCTCTATGAACACGATATTCTCTCCCACTCATGGGGACAACCCGGGATGCAGGATTCCACACACAGCCATGTACTGGGAGATGCT